ATAGCACTTGTTCCAATTTTTGTCGGACTTTTTTGTTTTCAAAGTGATTGGAATCTATGAAAACAGGTAACGATAGTGAGAAAATCCATCCAAGAAAGGAAGAAAGAAAGAAAGAAAGAAAGAAAGAAAGGAATAAATGAAGAAAGGAAGAAAGAAAGAAAGAAAGAAAGGAATAAATGAAGAAAGAAAGAAAGAAAGAAAGAAAAAAAAAAAAAAAAAAAAAAAAAAAAAAAGTTAAGGGATGACAGTTGTGCTTGCTTGTGAGTAGCTTTGAGTAGACTTCAGTTGGACGTGCAGTGCGCAATTCTATCCAAAATGTGAGAGAACAAGTTAGTAATAGCACGCCATTCTTTTAAAGAGAAGTATCAGTTTGCTCCAAATCAAGAGCACTGAAAAATTTCTCTGGTTCCTCCAAGAGAATCTTAATCTGCATTTTGCAGCTTTCTGCTGTCGCTTTATCGAGTTCTTTCATCAAATTCAAGTCAAGATGAATAAAGTCATGAAGTTTTCTTTGCTCAATACAATCTTGTAAGTCATGGACAGCATCAAGGAACCTGGGAATGAACTTATCATCAGTCCAAAAACTAGGCTTAGGATATTTTTTGTACAAATTCAAAATAATGGTTTCCAAGTGGTACTGCCTCACACCTTTTTGCAACTGTGGCGAACTATGCAGAATAAGCTTAAGAATAGCAAGGCATTCATTCCTACATCCATTGTTGTCTTCCAAGAACTTCTTCATCTGTTCTAGAAAGGCAATTTGCCATTGGCAAGGAGATTTTGTTGGAGCTTGTCTTCCCACCAAATAAAATCCTTGTTCCATGCATTCGTGTTTCATGGCTTTTGTCGGCCAATGAGATTCTTCTGTTTGCCACATTTTGGCGCCAAAAGTCCACCTATCGCGGCAAGGAATCGTAGGAAAAACATGTACACTATAAACCTCTTGAGTCGGCGAACTCAGACTAAAGGTCACCGTGTTGTCACTCAAATGTTCATTGATTTTGATCATGAATTCATTCATCTGTGCATCGGCCGCTATTTCTTGTGTCATCAACCATTTTAGATGACCTAGTAATTTCTCAGAGAATATTCTTGAAGATACATACTTTTTTCCAGAATTACTTCGAATACAAAAATCATCCCAAACAGTCCTCTTGTCTGTAAGTTTCGGCACAGCAAAGCCCGCAGGGGATTTACCATCTTCAATAGCAAGTCCTAGCTCACTCGAGTCAAAGTTCTTCAAACACAACAACACTTCGAACACATCACTTGTCTTTCCTTGATAGAACTTTGATGACTCTAGAGGGTCGAAATCGAGTACTGGGTCTCTGTCTGGTAGTTTAACTAGAATAGGATCTAGTAATGACTTCATAACACGAAATATTGTCTCTTCAGTGGTGGGATGACTCTTCGAATTCGTCTTCCAAAACGAATCCAGTGATGACTTTAAGGCTGCATGGTCTGACATCATTTTCTTCTTTGACTGTCTCGGGTCCAAGGTGGACTAACTATAAAAGCGAAAGATTGGTATAATTAGTAATATTAATGTGAAACAAATAAGTGAAACCTCAAACCATGAATCAGCCCATCCTGTATTATTAGTTGTAGCCAATGGTTTAGTGTTATTCGCCATACGAACGAAAGAAAACATCGTTAAAGACTTCCATTAAGAACAAACGACCTCAAACTGTACAATAGTACTAATCCCAAAAACAAGCGAGAAACTCAAACAAACAATAATACTATTACCTTAAGCGAGAACGACGCTGCAATAATTTGGAAGGGACTCAGCCATGAGCGTTATGATATCCATATCGTCATATATAATGTCAAATTTATGCCCAATAACAATGGACGGTCTTCTGTGAAGTCAGACCATCATTTGCATATTCGTTTGGTTTTGAATATCTTGGAAAAAGAAACTAAATAATAAATTAAACATTTTTCCCGCAGTAAAACCTTTGAATAACCAAAATAAATGAAGAGGAAAAATAAGACTGTAATTTAGGAAGACTTACTTTGTGAGTTCATGATTCGATTTATTGAAAATATGGTTTTAATGATTTCTTTTCGATTGATGTCATTGAAGAAGAAGTCGTTCGGTGGATAATTTATTTTCCCCGATGGTGAATGGAGCGAAGAGGCGTTTAAAGTCTTAATTTAATATTCTTTATTTTGTCTGACATCTGACGTGTTTCCTTTGTTTTCATTGTTTTCATATCCCACCTGATGCAACTTTATTTTTCTATCCATAAAAAGTAGACAATGACTGTAGAAAGCATAAAATTCAGCACTCGAAATAAATATCAATCAATTCGTAATCCTAAAATCACCTGTCATTATATTTGCCAAACGTCTCGCCTCGTTACCATGTGTTACCATGGATACACTGTTAATGTGAAAAGCCTCTTAAAAAGGACGCGCGGCGGCTTCCGGTATCTTAAGAAACCTGACCGGAAGTGCAACGAAGTCTGCCTACGAGAAAAAAGGTTGAAGAGGAAGTACAAGTTTTATCGACGCTATGCATGTTTTGTTTTGGTCACTGCATGGTTCCCCCCTCCCTCTAAATAAAAGGGTGAGAATGCCCATTTACTCCCAACCCATTCTCAGGATTTACTCTTTACAGTCCCCCCCTCCAACCCCGGAACACGGTCGTAGTCACTGTATACTTGTAGAAATTTTAGACTCTTCTTTTAGCATTTTTAAAGTTAAAGCAAGTTTCTTCTGGATCCTTTTCAAGTGTAGTTTATCATTTATTTGGGATACTAAAATTGTTTTTACAGCTAGTTTATCACTTTATTGTAAATTATTTTTTTAAGGGTCCCCCCCTAGATATTCCAAAGTAAGTTTCATGGCCTGAGCGAGCCTGCGCATGCACCGTGAGGAGGCAAAGCGCATCAGCCGAGCGAGATACTTTGAGTTCAATCCAATCAATCCGTTGGTTCCATTAGAAAAAAACTCCACTTCTCATTTTGAGAGCTAGTGTTTAGGCCGCGTTAAAGAGGATTCCCTTGCTACTTAGTTTCAAGTTATTTATTGTACAAAACCGTTCCATGGCTAAAACCGAGAACCAGGACTGTCTTTAAAGGGTTGCCTTGCCCATACTGCTTCGTATAGGCAGTTGGGTTCAATAAACAAGATGCACTCGGGTCCAGCTTGGGTACAAACCCACCCTGTGGACCAATTTGGTTTTGGCGACGTAACCTTACTCACTTCCATGTGAACCATGTGTCATTCTCTTGAGGATATTATTCTTTGCTTGCTGTTTTATATATCAGAAGCATCTATTAATGCGCCTCCTCAAAAGGGAAAGGCAGAGAAAGAAAAATTACTCAAGGGAATGACTCGTGGTTTGAAATGGAAAATAATTATTTCCAGACTTAACCGAACTATATCATAACCTATTCAGTTAAATACTTCAGGAAATATAGAATATTCTAATCTTTACCGAGAATGATTTGTCAAGATATCGATCAAGCCTGACGTTCCTCGTGGTATGCGTCAACAAAACCAGATAAACAAGTTTTTTTTGTTTCAAGGAGGCAAATCCGAAACAGTCTAAGCTCCGAGCCTTTCGCTTTACTGATGCTGAAGACCAACAGTTACACAGGTATTGGGAAAGAGAAATTCAACTTCAGTAGAACAGAATATAAACATTCTATCATAATTTCTTTCCCTTTTGTGGCTGCCAAAAAATATTTCCCCCGCGTACGATTCTGTTGACCATTCAGTTCTACTACTGACTCAATAGGGTCTAATTCACCTCAAGTGTTCCAACTCATGACTTTCCTGATTTTCTTTTTTTCTTTTGTTTTTGGTGGTCTAGATTCTTCTTCATATCCTTCGTCCATACTGTCCATACTATGAACATCTGGTGAAAGAACCATCAATGGATTAAGACAACATAAAAAAAAACTAAAAGAATATGTTAAGCGGCCACCTATTAAGCGACCACTTATTAAGCGACCACCTATTAATCGACCACCTATTAACTAGACAGTCTCTATAAAGCGACCACCTATTAATCGACCACCTATTAATGGACCAGCCTCTAATAAGCCAGCCTCTATTAAGCGACCACCTAATAATGGACCAGCCTCTATTAAGCGACCACCTATTAAGCGATCATTTGTCGTTTAAACAACAACTTACGTACTTTTATTTTTTGAAGATTTCTTTTTTACGGATCTTCTGAATCTTGCTGCTTTGAATGGAAGAAAAAGTAGAAAAAAACTTTATTGCATAAGTGGTATTTAAACTTCCCCACTCTTCCGATTATCGTAGCACTACAGGATTTTGATGATGAACAAGTTACAGTGTAAATGGCTCCAATGACGTAGCGAGGTGGACGAAAGGGGGGATATAAAAGAAAAAGTAAAATATTAGGTATTAGATTCGACGAAAAAAGTTTAAATGCTCAGATTTCCTCATAAAGATCGAGTAAATAAAAATGTTTGTTTCTGTTTTGTTTTTTATTTCTGGGTGCCCCCCTTCCCCCTCTGTTCCTGTGACCTCGCTTTGCCCCTGAATTCTCCACGATACCATTAAGACTGCATTCGGATTACCTTTCGCCTAGTGCTCATTTGCATTTTTGGCGCGAAAAGTCAGGTGCTTGCGAATGTAAGGCCTAGAGCAAACGTCGAACTTTCCATGCACCGAACTCATTAAAAACAATGGATATCAGGTGATAATGAGGCGGCAATCTTTGATGTAATTAAGTTCGGTGCATGGAAAGTCCGACGTTGGCCCTAGGCCTAAGACAAATCCAAGGAGGATCAACTAGAGGTATTGGACATACCGATTTGGTCCCGTAGAGATCCTTGTACTTGTGATACACGATTAGGTTTATCGTTAGCTATGGCGGGTAGCATTTGCCCTCCTGATATACTCGCTGGTGGCTGCTTGTCTTTCTGCTTGCGAAAATCACTTTCAGAATCACTAAAACGAAATATAATGTCACTAAAACATCATGATATGCTTTTGACCTTCACTGATGTCTACACTATATCTTTATTTTTATTTTATGTTTTAAATATATATTATGATTATCATGTAATGATTATTAAATATATACATGCGAGTTAATGATTATGATAGTGGAAATTGATATACATTCATAAATTATAAATCATTTACCAGTATATAATGTTAGTTACATAAAACTTCTCACTTTGTGGCCATGTTTAACCATGTTCTCACATGAGCACCCGCTGACCCGTGCGCGAAATTTCCCGCCAAAACTGGCAACAAGTGACTGTAAACACTGAGTATATTCCTTCTCATGGAGGCAAAGATTAAAAATGACCACGAAGAGAGAACGTCCCGTTTAAACGACGCTCACAGTTGCCTGAAATCTGTTCCGTCGGTATATCCTGAGGCGCCTTTACCCGATCCTGATCGGTGCTCCTCGGGGATCGACAGTGAACGATTCATTTGTTTAGACCTAGAACTGTTAAAGCACCCACACCAATTAGCAAAATACATGCTGCATCTATTAGTTGAATCCTCAAGCATGATGAAAGATAATAATATATGATGAGCTCATAATCAATACTCCAGTTTTAAGTTCTCCGTTGCTCGATCTCGATTTTGTGTAAAATATTCACGTGTTCCAGTCAAGGTCCGTGGAATATCAAAGTGTTTGTATTGTTGAAGCAGTATATTGTTTGCTTTACCATTGAATATTTAGACACTGATTTGAGGCTAAGCCTGAACAAGTGAGTCTGTAATCAAGGAACACAGTAATTTAAAACTCGTTCTATAGCGCTCAATACAAACCTAGATGACGAGGGCTTGAATAAAGATTCTGGTTTCTTTTTTCTTGCCCAAAAGCTAGTGACGTCTGAGGAATCAGAATTACCCTCTCTACTCTTTGCAGACCATGTTGTACGCTGGGATTTGGTGGGTGACATGACTAACTGTCTGTTTGGGGTTGACTGTTGCATCATGGGAAGAGTCTGCTGCTTGACTGGGACAGCGGTTTGTTGTTTTACCTTAGTAATTTTTAGTGGAGCGAGAGTTGATTCCGTCGAAGGAGATACTGGTTTAAATTCGAATGATCGGGCTGTGGAAGGGTTATAGCCGACGTCTAGTCGTAAACGTTCGGGGACTTTCCGTGGCTTGATCGGTGCTAGGACGGAAGCGGTTGCTGGAGGCTTTAAAAACGGTGCGTGTATGTTTTCCTTTAACAGAAAAACAAAGATAAATGGACTAATCAATGTAGAGGCACGGCTTATATTCACTGATCGAATTGACATTAATTGTGTTGTGATTTACAGAAGGAGCAAACAGGAAAACCCGGAGAAAAACCGTCAAAGGGAGAGCCAAAAAAACTCCGACCACTACCCACTTGCGATGCCCCCCCTAAAGTGCATATGAGGTGAACGCATCACCACTAATCAACATGGCTTCCTAAATAGGTATTCAATCGGATCGGGGAAAGACGGTTCATAACTGATGCGCAGTAACCCAGTAAAAATGCGAGTTACGAGTCCCAGCTTACCTCGAAACTAAACCTCGGTAGTGGAGGCGGAGGCTTGACTGACTGATTCTCAACGTTGTTATTGTCATCTTCTGTAGGAAGGGGAGAGGAGCCTGGAATGGGTGTGAGGACCATTTGAGGGGGGTATCTGAATTCGTCATCACTGCTGTACCCTGTACTGTCTCCGTCACTGAGATTTCCGTTCATATTTGAATGAACTGTAGCTAAAACAAAACAAACCTTTTAACACTGGCCACTTATTACGCCTTTTGGTTTTGGTTTAGTTTTAATAGATCAGTGTGTTATGCCCTAATGTCAACCGCTAATATTGCTCACATAATATATCTAAATACAGTGGTAATGTTATGACTATAATATGAATGGAAATATGAAATGTGCCTTACTAAGCCACGGTGAAGTTGATGGTGATTTGCAGTCACTTGTGCTACTTTTACGTAAATCATGCAGTAGAGATGAGACGCGTCCTACGTGAGTGATTAAACATGCAGTTAGTACGTCTACAAGGTACACTACATACGCTACTACCACTACACGTTAGTGCTAGGGCCCTGTGGTAAGTCATGCAGTAGAGATGAGATGCGTCCTTTGGTACGTCTACAAGGTACACTACATACGCTACTACCCACTACACGTTAGTGCTAGGGCCCTGTGGTAAGTCATGCAGTGGAGATGAGATGCGTCCTACGTGAGTGATTGAACATTTATTATCAAGTGTAATGATGTTAATATCATAATAAAACACATCACATTTGGTGATTATACAATTACTAGTACGCGCAATTCAGTTAAAGGTACCACGAATAACACGTGTGCAGGTGTAGAGCAAAATTTGTATACACTTATTTCAATAAAGTTAGTCACCAAAAATCTAGAAAGCTGAGATCACTGAGCATCATGGGAAACTTTTCATATCAAAAAAGCAAATATATACAAAGCTTTTTTAATGCAAACTGCAGCTGGATGATGCTCAGACGAGGTGAGACAGTAACCGGTAAGAGATTCGCAAGTCCATGAACAGTTATCAAGCCGTTGAACGTGTAAAATGAATCTACCCATAACCCTGGTCGGCCTCAGCTTTATAGCTTTTCAGTCGACTAACTTTATTGAAATAAGTGTATAACTGTTAAAACTCACGGTACGAACGTGCCGTGCCGTGACCGACCGTGATGTTGCTGCGTATTTCCTTGGCTGAACAACAAATTTGCGCACTGCGATTGGTTCAATGGAAATTGCGGTGCCGTTTGCCGTGCCGCTTCACAGTATATGAAATCCACTCTAAATATAATTACCGTTATCATGGTCTCTATGAAATGATAAAATGCTTGAGATACGACGCGCGCTTTAATTGGCTAGCTACCACGTGAACTCTTGTCAGAAGACATAGGCATACTCGCACATCAGTAGCCTCGTGTTTTGGGGTTGCTTCCCTCTTGCCGCAGTCTAAAGCTCCCGCCGCGTTTATATCACAGTACGTTTTATATGCACGAAAATAAAAGACGAAAATAAAAGACGAAAATCATCAAAAGCGTGTCGTAAATCATGTAACTACAACTGTCGTGAACCGAGTATAATCGTAAGAACGGTTAAAAAACAAGAGAATGCCATGAATTGAGTGCGTGCCAATATAAATATATACCTTAATATGATCATGTTCTATACAAGTATAACGTACAATAAGACGTTAACCACTGACCAAGAGAATGCCATGAATTGAGTGCGTGCCAATATAAATATATACCTTAATATGATCATGCTCTATACAAGTATAACGTACAATAAGACGTTAACCACTGACCAAGAGAATGCCAAGAATTGCACGCGTGCCAATATAAATATATACCTTAATATGATTATGTTCTATGCAAGTATAACGTACAATAAGACGTTAACCACTGACCAAAAGAATACCATGAATTGCTCGCGTGCCAATATTTAACAATTATTCACCGAAGGCGAAGTGAATATCGGGGAACAATAACCGAAACGAAGTTGAGGTATTATTCCCGATATTCACTGAGCCAGAGGTGAATAATTCATTTTAGTATAAATACATAGGTGATTCTTTCAAAAAAAGAAAAACAAGATAAAAGACACATTTAAAATTAGGAACAACAACAAAGCGGCTGGCCCCCATTTTGGATTATCGCTGGAGGTGATTATCGTGTGATAATCTGAGTTTCTCGACCAATCAGCGCGCGAGATTTTCAATAATCACCTGTGTATTTATACTAAAAAGATATACCTTAATATGATCATGTTCTATACAAGTATAACGTACATTAAGACGTCAACAACTGACCAAGAGAATACCGTGAATGGCGCGCGTGCCGATATTGATATATACCTACGATATTCATGGTCTAACGAGTATAACGCACGACAATAAAACAAATACCTTTCTCTTCGTCTTTCTCAGAATTGTTATTCACTTCTACGAGCACTTCTACTGCCTCAACAGTCTTACAAAGAATCTCTCGTACTTCATTATCTTCAGCATCAGCGTTCTTCCCAACAGCGTGGTCCTGTTTTGTATTGGCGCTCATTCCATTCGGTAATCCCTTTACACCACCTATTATCCTACTGGGTGATGAGTCGATGTGAATCTCTGGTGGTGTGCTAGCCTTCACTATTTCTGATGTGAAGGAGAAAGAATTATAAGAACATTCAATTGGATTTATTAATATCCATAGATCTTCACTAGAACACATGCATATTGCTATCAAAATCGCCGCTAATGCTGAGCGATCGATAATTAGTAATTGGGGTGCCGCTGTGGAATGCGTACGCATCAGCGGTAGGGGTTTAACAAATGTCAGCAAGTGTCACAACATGGAATACGAGCCTCCACTTACGAAAATATACTTGGTTAAAAGCGCGATATATTTACTAATGCGTCTACACTCAAGGATCAAATGCGCAACGAAAAAAAAACTATTTGAAGGAAAACGTTTGAAAACGACGAAGTTAATTTTTGTGCAAATGGATGAAAGCGATGAAAGCTAGTTCAATACTGCCATTGTGGCAATGAAAAACAGTAATTTTTATTTGCATTTTTGGAGATTTTTTAGTAAGCGCAAGAAGCAGATCAAAAGATGACAAACTCAAATTTTCGAATGAAAAAAAATTTGTCTTGCTTGTAAATGATAGCAACAACGAAACCGCTCGTATCGATAAAACGTTTTTCCTTTCTCTGCGGGAAAGCGACGACTAAAAGCTAATGAAAATATAACTCGAGAACTGAGGACTGATAAGGTTGGTCTTCTGCAGAAGGCAATTAAATGGTACGTTACGCGTCGATGATCATGACGATAATTACCTTAAGTCAGGATATTAATAATGTTCAGAGTTGTAATTAGTTTCCAAAGTAATTATTAGTAATTATTTTCCAAATCATTTGCAACGAAGGTGAAGCCAGTTTGATTATCTCTTGTGAAAATCTACTCTCGGGTGATAACGGTAATTAAGGCCCGTTGTGGTTAGGGTATAGTCAAGTAGACAACAAACACATCACGTGATCAGATATCTATCATTCGGCCTTCTAATACTAGCAATGATAAATCGTTTTAAAAGCTAGAGGTAACTTTCCATCATATTAATCACCGTGTTTGACATGATACGTCTGAATCGAGCAGGTGTTTACATTCAGTCAGATGCTCTAATGATATTCACTATGGATAGAGGAAATAGAATGCTCTCTCAGCTCTTATGACTGGTAATATATATACTGTGTTTTTGTTCTCGACAGAAACAGTTAAAATAACCAAAAACCGACACTTATAAATAACATAACAAACACCATATCAATTTAATAAAACTGAAGTATCGAAAACTGAAGAAAAAATCGTGGAGGAAGCAAACGAGGGAGTGAAATCCCCTGAAAAAATATTCAAGCAGTTTGTAGAAACGTAACTTTTCTGAAAATTCTTCGTAATGATCATTTGTGCACGATCTTTATCGAACTGTTGATACTCTGTTTCATGGTTTTTGAACGCTATATTCAAGTGTTTTAAAACCTGTCTTATATAATATTCAGTAATGTAATAAAAATACTGTTCTTTGTAATCACTCGACTACTATAATACACTTTACAGAACAACACCATCTTTACCTTAAAACAGTCCGCTTTACGCTTGAAGCTTATCTTGATAATCAAAAGAGACTAAAATGGGCTGGTTTTTTTTGGTCAGGTCAAATTGTACCATGTCGTATTACGAATAGAAATGTAAATAAATCATACCAAAATTGCAGTTGACATGGTAACGACGTCTACTTTTAATTTATCTGAATTAGTGATGTAGCTAGAAAAATCCTAGATAATTATTCAAAGGTTTTTGTTCAATTCTGGTTTTGTTTGCTGGATTCCCAAATAGGACTAACATTAACTCGTTCTTTCAGATCTCAATGAAGAATTAATTCACGGCCCGCGCTGTAATTAATTCCCATGGTTTTGTGGTTTTTCAACGGTTCAAGCGAAAAGGTTTTCAGATAAATGACAAATAGATTAAAAAAACTATTTACAAGAAAAAGAAAACAACTAAGATACGAGAAATGTTTGAACGAAACAGGAGGGGAAATATTAATAAGAGAGAGATCTGACAGCACTATTATTTCCCTAAATAAACATAATAATACAAAAAATTTTTAATGAAACTACAAAAAAGTTAATTGCAGACAAATATCTGTAAGAAACAAGAGCAGATAGAAGAAATGCAAAATGTTTTTGCAATAACAGGTTCTAGTCATAACATTTTCAGAAAATATAAAATGATTAGCAAAATTTCTGATATTATCTGTGAAATTGGAAGCTAATGAATTTTTTACGATAATTAATTATTGGATATTTTCCGACAATACCATATGTTGATTTAGAAATGAAATCGAAAGACATTTTTTCGCTTTTTGTCTCGGCTGAAGGTAACTGACAAAGTTGTGTCATGTTGTTTATGCAAATAGTAAAGCGCAGAAGACAAGATGAGTGTTATTCTAGTGCAGTAGTTTCTTATACACCTATTTCAGAAATCGTTGTCGCACCAAAAGCCTCAATCAACAAGCCAAGACCGCAGAGAACGCCGGTACTTTTAGCTGTAAGTAGTTTTTTCATGGTGCATTTTCATTTATTGACTTCACAAATTGCTCCAAGCAAGGCTGTTTGAGATGATAATTAGTGTAGAGCTATAGCCACTTGCATGAACCATGAATAAATCAATTATAATTAAAAGTACCGACGTTCTCTGGAGCCTTGGCTTGTTACCCGAGGCTCTTGGTGCGACAACGATTTTCGAAATAGGTGTATATACGGACTATTATTCATGGCCCCAACTCCCCTTAGTAACCGTTGCTATGTCACATAAGCAAATTATCTAGAATATCTCATAATAATCTCAGACTCTGATAGCGGAAAATTGATTATAAATTGTTTCAATTCTTTAGTGTCCGGTGAAAATAAAATAAAATAGCGTCGTAATCCTTGTAGTACTCTTTAAAACAGATAGGGTAGTTGTTTGTGGGACAAGATTTTAATTCCACTGGGAACACTGCTGCAACAGTGATTGGTTCACTATTGGCCGAGTAGGAACCATGGATAGTCAATAAAGGACCCGCATTATTTGTACAGGGATATAACATCGGTAGTGTATCAGGTTTGAGGGAGGGAGGAAGGAAGGAAGGAAGGAAGGAAGGGAGAAAGATTTAACATTACTCAACATTCCATTTTTGAGGTATTCTTACCTGTACATTCTGGCATTTCAGTATTTAAAGGGTTATCGGGATCATGATTGAATATCAAGTTACCGCATACTTTATGTCCTTTTTGCTGTRCATACATAAGAGGTGAGATACCATTCTTGTCCACACAGTCTTTGTCTGCGCCTGCGCGTAGTAATGCTACAGCACAATGCGCATTCCCAGTAGCCGCTGCCCAGTGTAAAGGAGTCCTGTGAAAGAAAACACGAGAACTGACAATCCGCAAGATTTTATAATGGTTTACCCCCTTTCCTCAATCTGCCCCATTCCGCTCCTCCTCTCTCATTCTGCTCCTCCTCTCCCATTCTGCCCTTTCTCTGCCCAATTCTGCTTTTCCTCTGCCCCATTCCGCTCCACCTCCCATTCTTCCCTTCCTCTGCCCAATTCTGCTCCTCCTGCCACATTCTGTTCCTCCTCTGCCCCATTTTGCTCCTCTTCTGCGCCATTCTGCTCCTCTGCGCCATTCTGCTCTTCCCCTGCCCCATTCTGCTTCTCCCTGTCCCATTCTGCTCCTCCTCTGCCCCATTCTGCTGCTTACCTGTTTTCACCGTCACCAAGCCCTATATTGGCAAACTTCTCGCGGATCAATTCTTGTAACGCATCCAGATGTCCGGCGGCTGCGGCAAAATGAAGGGGAGTCTTTCCGGAGAAATCTTTGCCATTCAACAGGTGCTGACCAGGAATGGTATTCAAGATAGTCCGACAACACTCTACACTCCCGTTCTGAAAAAAAAAACACCAAATAGTTTGCTTTTACTGTTAATAACTAGCGGTTACTAACTGGGAATGCGTTGGTGTGTTAAGTGAATACAGCAAGCAAGAAGTAAGAAGAACTATTAAACACTGTATAAAGTAGAGGACTTATTATGACTGCGCGGAGATACGGATTTATCTTCGAGTGTTGAGGTGATATCTTACGAGTGAGCGCAGTGGGTATGGGAGTAAGCAAAATTATCACGTGGGGAGGGGTGGAATTGTAACCCCACCCCCACCCCCTGATCAGCCTCTGTCGCTTTGAAAGTGAATTCTGAAAAATTGAAGTCGCTACTCGTGGTCATTATCTTTGATTTCTAGAAAAATATACAGAAAACAAACTGAGTCTTCTTATTTTATTAAAGATAGTATTAATACACTGATTTACTGTTATTAGGGCGTTTTTTTTGTTGTTGTTTCTTTGTTGTTTTTCTTTGTACAAAATGCACTACCATAGATACCTCGATTCATATAGTGTCTTCAAAGCATTCCATGACTTTGCATAACAAAATGAAGGGCGTTGTGATCAGCAATCCAGTAATCTCTCCAACATTGCTCACATACAAATATGCAGTAAAATAGCTAACATTTATTTGAATATCATTGAGTAATACATCTTTTTTCTATATGAATATATATTTAAAAATTTCCATGAAAAATATCCCAAAAAAATTACAATGCTTTGAAAAAAAATAGTCCTTCATTGCTTGCCTTATCGCCATGTCTGTTTCTTAATTCTCTTTTGGCCAAGTTTGATTTCAAAGAATTACTTCTTTTTTCTTAAAAGTTTTGATTTCTTCTTTCTAGGATTTTTTCTTGCTCAATTTTTCTTTTCAGTTGTAAAAACATAGCCCATCATTTCTTGGTTTATCAATATGTCTTTTCGTAATTCTTGCTCGACTGAGCCGCGCACCTTCAGAATAACTTCTTTTCCAACAGTTTTTGATTTCTCTTAATTCTTGTAAGATTTTTTCATGTTCCTTTCGTGTTAGGGAGGAAGGAATACTTCTGGCTTTTGAGTTCGCTGTTGAGCTATCGTTAAGACTCCAAGTGTTATCTACGAAATCTCCCGATTTCATTCGCTCCTTCTCCTCGTCTTTTTGGGATTGATTGATGACAATAAACTCGGAAGAATGCGAAAGGCAGAGCATAGATGGACCGCAACCCATGGTGATAGCACCTCCTTGTACGAATAGTACCAATATATAGGTCTAATATATATTTTTAGTTGCTACTGGCGATAGATAAATATTTTCTAATCAGAGGAGCCGCGTGTTTGAATAACCAAGGAAACAAATAGTCATTAATAGTCAGAAAGAATATCTTTATGGCTTGATGATATATTTAACAGTATCACAATTGTTACCGAAAGCAAATTTATTTATTTATTTTWTTTATTTTATTTACATTCATATTTTAACAGGAAGCTTCTTCACTTATAAATGTGATTTTCAAGAAGGTCCTGATAAATAAGATATTTTTACAATAATATGTAAAAAGGGAATTTGGAGGTTGAATATCGAAACCAGCTCGTTACTGAAAAGTCAACATCATTATTACTAGTATGTAAAAATGAAAAAGATGAAAAATTAAAATTATTTAGGTTTACAGGTTTAAAAGAAATTCGATTTAAAATGGCTAATCTTAGAACACTGTTTAAGTTTACCACTCAGATTGTTCCATTCTTTCATTGTTAATCCATGTGAAATGTGAGATAAGAATTTATAATTACCAAGGTTACAATTAATAACTAATATACTAAAAGAGGTGGGGTGGATTAAGAACGGAAGGAAGGATATCTTTATGGCTTGATGATATATTTTAGCGAGGCCTAAGCAATTATGATTTTCATAGAGAAGAGAACATTTTTGTAATTACCAAGGTTACAATTAATATCTAATATACCAAAAGAGGCGGGGCAGATTCAGAAAGGAGGATGGATATCTTTATCAACATGAAGCGTAGGATAATTAATTTGGAAAGGTCAAAGCAATTAATTTTTTTATAAATAAGATAACAGTTTTAAGTTTCAGAGCTGCTGACAATTAGCATTTTATCGGAACCAAATTAGACAAGAGGGATTAGAATTGTGATTTGGGGCATTTTTAGTATGTTGATGGTGTTTGGCAGTGGAAATAAGCACAGCAACCTATCAAGATTTTGAAGGAGTGGTTACAAAGTGTGACGTCACGTTGCCATGACTTCCATCTCTCACCTGGGCAGCCCAGTGCAGTGGCGTCTTGCCTTCGTTGTCACGAGCAATGACTTCAGCACCATTCTCCACTAATATCTTGACAAGGTCGGCTCTACCATGAAAAGCAGCCCAGTGAAGTGCAGTCATACCCTAATGAAATATTATTTAATACAGTTTTAATCTTAAAATATAATTTGACAGAAAATCCATATGGTTCCGACTCTGACAATAGCGAACCAGTGGAATTAAAATTTCGTCCCACCACAGGGAGCCCAATTTAGATTAAAATTAATGGTGATAAAAATCGTCAAAATTCAACAATTAATTATTTTTTAAATTCGAGGTCAAGATAATGTCCTCCGTAATACGAAAGAGTAAAAAAAAAAAAAGATAAAAAATGCACTAGAACATTTTTTTCGCGCGCGCCTTTGTCGCTCTTAAGAGTATATATATGCATAAGGCTCCCTGTGTTCCCACAAACAATTACCGACTGGTAGCTTGTGGGACACAGCCACGGTATCTAAGGGAACCACCAATCTTCAATCATTCTTAAAAGGACGGGCACAATCATACAATTTACCATCGGGATAAAGTAGGTTTTCATAGACGTCAATCAAAGCGCTTCCATGACACTCCTGTTAGACACGCGCTTTGGAAAGGTTTGTTTTCTCCAATGCAATAGAAACATGTCATGGAACCTCAGAAAAGAAAGAACATTGACGTCCACCAAAACTATATTTTGATGTGACGACGATTCTGCCCAAGTGACAGACAGCAAGTGTTTTTCTCACAACTGTTGCGCGCAACATGACGAATTGTTTCGTGTAAATCGACCGTACGATTTGCTTACAACTGTAAATGGTAGCTGAAACTTGACCAATCTCGTACCCAGAGCCTGCGTTTCTTCTGGCCTGCGGCGAAGAACGAGGGCTCTGGCATAATCCATTTTTTGGCGCATGCGCAATTTTCGGAAAGTGAGATATAAACGGTCAAAATAAGCAAAGTAAAAATTAAATCGAAGTAAAAATCAAAGTAAAAATCATAGAAGAAATTAAAAATCGGGGGATTTTTGGCGTGCGCTGTTATACCGGAAGTCCAAGAAATCCTCGTTCTTCAACGCAGGCCAGAAGAAACGCAGGCTCTGGGTACGAGATTGAAACTTGACAGTTGTGAATCGTGTAAGTCGGTTTTGATGAAATGCTTTGATAAGATGTGGGATTGCGCCGCAACAAGCCACTAACAGAGAGTTGCTACGCTACTGGGAAGGGAAAAAAACCTGATGCAATGCATGGTGGGATACCTACAGGGGAGAACTGCGCACTGACAGCGCAAGGCGCATCAAGATCAAACCAACCTAACGCAAAGAGATTGTGAAAGACAGAATATACGAAAAAATATGCACAAAAATATCATAAAAAATCGATGCGCAACGGATCCATTGGGCAGAGCGTGGAGATTTACGGACTGTTTCATGTTCTGCATTACTTGATAAATCCTTATGGGGGAATTTTTCCCTTGTGCGCCTGCTTTTCTGTTTGCCGATATCAACAATGAAAGCTGCCAAAGCGAGGAATATGTCTGTAAAAAAAAAGACAACACAAATTTCTAAAGCCACAGTGACGTCGTACCTCGCAGTCTGCTGCATTAATAGACTCCTGAGAAAGATGTTGAAGTAGAATTTCGACAGTTCTGCAATATATATTTAAAAAAAACAACAATTCCTTAATGAAACAGAATAGCGATTTTTTTATTGTTGCCGCCAACCATAAACTCATAACATGGTATAACTACAGAGGAAGGTTTCGTTAATCAAAGCAGAGATATTAGTTGGTCCTCTCTTGTGCTTCGAGGGTTTTTTCCCAGGTTCTCGGTCTTCCTTACTCTGCAAAACCTAACACGTTAAACTCGAACGGGAATTTCACTGGATAAATACAGACAGTCCACAATTACAGTTACTTACTTTTCATTGCTGTAGTAAGTAGCAGCATGCAGAGGAACCCTGCCACAGTTATCCACAATAGTTTGGTCAGCCCCAATAGCTAACAGGTAGTAAACACCATCATACCAGCCCTGTAGATAGAAACAATATTTCTCACTAGGAATTATTCACCATCTTTCCTCATTAAGACTTTTCAGTTAACAAGAAATTGCCCACTTTAAATATTAGTATAAACCCCTATATAGCACCTTAATTTGGAGGACATAACGGATTTCCAATAGACACCAGAACACGAGCATTATGATGCATTGCTATAAAAAATGTTTTGATAAGAATAGTCCCCTTCACAGTTCCCTGCGCCATCTTGAAAGGTGGCCGTGCCTTTGCATCGAAGCGAGACGAACGGTGAACTTGTAATGATAGAGACATGCGAATAATTGTCTAAGGTGTTAAAAAAGATCTCTAGCATTGCATGCTCACCGTTCGTCTTGCTTCGATGCAAAGGCACGGCTAACTTTCAAGATGGCGCAGGGAACTGTGAAGGAGAATATTCATACGATCGATTGTTCTCCTCTAAAACTGTCTTCTCAATTTTACTGAATTTGCGTTTTTCAGTTTCGTGGCCCGTCAAGTTGGATGCGCACGCAACCTTGAGAAAACAGTCTATTCTCAGGAGATTGACATTGTTTTTTTTTTTCGTCCTCCAAATTGAGCTGCTTCGATGTCACATGTGAGTGTCTATTAGCTGTTCCGAGGTTGAGGGAAAAACTGGGTCGAGTTGGCATTGCAGTGCATTGTGGGACTGTTTAAGGAGACAAAATAGACGCCATCTTGGAAATAAAGGGAGACCAATCACTCACCTGATAAGCAGCTAATGCTAAAGCAGTCCTACCAAGGTTATCTTTAGCATCAAGACACGCACCAGAAGTGGCCAAAAACTGCACTAACTCTAGATTACCAGTACTGACAGCAACAAACAGGGGGGTCATACCTTCACTATTTACACATTCTATCAACTCTGCAAAAAAAGATGGGATACAGTAATAATCAATAATAATAATCAATAATAATAATAATAATGATGATGATGATAATGGTGATGATGATAATAATAATTGATTGATTGAAGACTTTTATTTAATGAGTGTGACACGTGACAGTAATATTGTTAACTGATTAACTTGTGGCCCTCGAGTTTTTTTGTTGTTGTTGTTTTTGTTTTGTTTTTAGCACTGGAAGATGGTCGTCACCAGCGTCTTCAGTGGATCTCTTACGTCCGCCTTATACAGGGTTATATAGTGAAGACAGACGGGGCCTAAGGTTTTAAGTCCTTGTCCGAGAAGACTTAAATAATAATAATAAAAGAAAAACAAATCGGCATAGAAATGGAAAAACAATTTGAAACGAAATGAAAATGAAAAAAGGAATGGAAACAGAAATAAGAATTTGGAGAGAAAAAGAAAAAAAGTGGGGGAAATCAGAATAGAAATAAAAATGGAAAAAGAAATGGAAATGGAAAAAGAAATGGAAATGGAAAAAGAAATGGAAATGGAAAAAGAATTTAAAAAATAGAGTTAATTTCTTCACAAACAAACATATTTTGCTAAATATAACTAGGAAAAAATCATGATCATGATTAACTCCCTGGAATCAAGTAGTGCTTCTAATATTACCTATAATTTTTTTTTTTACTTATTAAGACTTTTATTTTGTAAATAAGGATATTAAAAATTGAGATGATATTTTGTTTTTGATAAGGAGAATAATAGCCTCAGGCATATTGCACAGTCAGTAGTTTCTAGAATATGTGAGTGAATCCATGCCTCTTAGGGATCATTGATCATTTATTGAAAGGGGACCAGCATCTCAACTTATTCCACAAATCCAGGAGTAATATCTACTAATTATGATTTTTTAATTTATTGTTTAACCATCATTGAGACCGTGGAAACCCTTTATTGAGATTGGTCAAATCCATTTAATATTCTGTGAACCCAGGAAAATAAATCTTATTAATTGTATTTCTTTCTTGGCTAATATCAACTGGGAAA